ACACATACACACGCACACACACACATACACACACATACACATACAAACACAATCCACGTACACACACACACACACGTCCACGTACATACACACACGCACACACACACACACACACACATATACATACATGTACACACACACACACACACACACATACACATGCACGTACACACACACACACACACACACACACACACACACACACACACACACACACACACACACACACACACACACATACACATGCACGTAAACACACACACACATACACATACACATACACGTACACACACACACACACACACATACACATGCACGCACACACACACACACACATCCACGTACACACACACACACACACACACATACACATGCACGTACACACACACACACATCCACGTACACACACACACACACACACACACATACACATGCACGTACACACACACACACATGCACGTACACACACGCACACACGCGCGCGCACTCACATGCGCGACCCGAACGCCTGCCCTGCTACCGGAGCCCAAGCCGCCCCCCCCGGCCCGCCCGCACAGCAAATGGCAAGGCGCCCCATAGACTCGCTCGCCGCCCCCCCCGGCGCGGCCGACGAAGGCGCCCTCGCGCGCTGGGTCCTGGCGCAGGCCGCCCTGACTGCCAGGGGAGACTTCGAGGCGAGCCTCGAGAATTAACTTGAAGATATTCAGCCACTGAACCTCACCCTTAACCCCCCCCTCGCCCAGCCGCTCTCCCAGGCCTTCAGCCACGCCAGCGCGCCCCTTCCTGGCGCCGCGGCCGCCCGCGGGAACCGAGAGGCGATCGACGGCGGCTACGACGCCGACGACGAGTCCACCATCTCGACGGACGTCTCGAGTCTCATCGACGAGTTCGCCAACGGCTTCGACTTCCAGGAACTGCAGCTGAGCGACGACTGCGAGAGCCCCGAGGCCCAGGCCTTTCCCGAGAGTGACCTCAGGGGCCGGAAGCGAGGGACTGGCCCGAGCGACGGCCGGGCGCAGAAGAGGAGGCGCGCGGGGCGGAGCCGCAGCCGAGGCCTCCGGAGGTGGTGAGCGGCGGCCTCGGGGACGCGGCTCGGAGGAGGAGGGGAGAGGGACTCAGGGAATCAAAGTGCAAGAAGGACCAAAGTAGGAGAGAAGTAGAATAAGAAATAAAAAATTATAATAAAGAAAAAAATAAAATAAAAAATAAATAAATAAATAAATAAATAAATATATATATATATATATATATATATATATATATATATATATATATATATATATATATATACATATATATATATATATATATATATATACATATATACATATATATATATATATATATATATATATATATATATATATAGAGAGAGAGAGAGAGAGAGAGAGAGAGAGAGAGAGAGAGAGAGAGAGAGAGAGAGAGAGAGAGAGAGAGAGAGGGAGAAAGACAGAGAGACAGACAGAGACAGAGACATATAAGAATTAAAGAAATACAAAGAATATATATGTATATATATATATATATATATATATATATATATATATATATATATATATATATATATATATATATATATATATATATATATCAAGATGCATCAAGGCAAGAACAGCTTAAGCAACGAAGCCCTGCACTGAAACCGTCACTGGAATTACCACGAATGAAGATCACTGTCCCGGTGGCGCTGCTGAGCTCATTGCCTTCGAGGGCAGGCGTTGGGACACGGAATTTCGTTTTCTTTTTTTTTCTGTTTTGCTCGTATATTTCTATATGTGTGTGTTTTTTGAAGTTTGCATGTATACACACGTACACACACACACAGTAGTGGTTATTATCATCATTCTTATCACTGATGCTATTATTATTATTATAATTATTTTTATCATTATTTTTATTATTTTTATTATTATTATTATTGTTATTATTTTTATTATCATTATTATTGTTATTATTTTTATTATCATTCTTATTATTATTATCATTATCATTATTATTACTATTATTATCCTTATTATTATTAGTAGTAGTAGTAGTAGTACTATTATCATTATTATTATTATTTTCATTCTTATTATTATTATCATTATCATTATTATTACTATTATTATACTTATTATTATTATCATTATTTTTGTTAATATAATTAATATTATCGTTATTATTGATATTATTATTACTATTATTATCCTTATTATTATTATCATTATTTTTGTTAATATAATTAATATTATCATTATTATTGATATTATTATTCATATCATTCATATTCATATATTCAAATTATTATCATTATCATTATTATCACTATTATCATTATAATCATTATCATCTTTATTATCTTTATCATCTTTATTATTATCATCATCTTCATTTTTCATTTTCATTATCATTATCATCTTTATTATCATTTTCATTATCATTATCATTAATATTATTACTTCTGTCGTCATTATCACTGTTATTATTATTATAATAGTTACTCCCATATCTGAAGCCA